TGTGACCTGGTCACAGGCCACCAGGTTGGTCTGATAGGACCTGCCTCTGATGAACCAGTGTTGATTGCCCCTAAGCATAAACTCCCCTGCTGGTCCCTCGTAGATGTGCTCCTGGACAATTTTCTGAAAAAGCTTCCCCAGGACCAAGGTAAGACTAACGGGCCTATAGTTTCCTGGATCCTCTTTCCTGTGGTCCCTTTTTTGAAAATGGGGAGCACATTGGCCCTTTTCCAGTCATCAGGCATCTCACCAGAGCACCACGAGTGCTCGTAAAGTTGTGCCAGGGGTCCTGCAATGACTTCGTGCAATTCCCCAAGCACTCTGGGGTGGAGATCGTGAGGACCTGCTGATTTGAACACATCTAGTCCCTCCTCAAGTTCCCTCAGTAGGTCCTCACTGTCCCTGGGCCTGGCTGCGCCTCCCCTGGGTCCATCCCGAATCCCAGTTGGGGGGGGATGTCCCTGTTCCTGCTCAGAAAAATGAAAGCAAAGAATCCACACCTCATGAGATGTGGGACTTGCAACAAGGAGGACACTACCACCATCTTGAGCTTTGTGAGGTGCAGGACTTGCCCCCACTGCCAGCTCTTCAGCTAATGAGGCTCACAGCAGGGGAAGCACTGAGAACAATGCCACCACTGAGAGCCCTATCTACACATTCAATTAATGGCATGATTAGAACAAGCTACAAAGTTACTACACCTTTTTTGTGGAATAAAACAAGAAATAAGCTACAAAGTTATGCTATTAACTGGGTGAATGTGTAGCTGGGTCACAACTTCAGGCATGACTAACCAGTTAATCATGCCTCAAGTATAACATGTAGAGGGCTCCTAAGAGTGAAATCACAGAAAATTAGGGTTGGAATGGACCTCAGGAGGTCATCTAGTCCAACCCCCTGCTCAAAGCAGGACCATATCATCCCATCCAAGCCTGTCTAGCCAGGTCTTAAAAACCTCCAAGAATGGAGGGTCCACAACCTCTCCATTGCTTTACCACCCCCTTTGTGAGAAAGTTTTTCCTAATATCTAACCTTAACATCCCTTGCTGCAACTTGAGACTGTTGCTCCCTGTTCTGTCATTTGCTACCACTGAGAACAGTCTATTCTCCATCTTCTTTTGAACCTCCTTTCAGATGGTTGAAGGCTGCTATTAAATCCCCTCATAGTCTTCTTTTCTCCAGACTAAATAAGACCAGTTCCCTCAACCTCTACTCAGAAGTCAGACTGCCATGCCCCCTCACCATTTTTTCTATCCTCTACTGGACTCTCTCCAATTTGTCCACATCCTTTCTGTAGTGGGGTCCCACAACTGAACACTGCTCCGGACATAGCCTCAGTGTTGAATAGAGGGGAATAATCATTTCCCCTTGATGTGCTGGCAACGCTTCTACTAATGAAGGTCAATATGGCATTAGCCTTCTTCACAGGAAGGGCACACTGTTGGCTCATATTCAGCTTCTTGTCCACATAAGCTCCAGGTCCTTTTTTGCAGAGCTGCTGCTTAGCCAACTGGTCCCCAGCCCATGCTGGCATACAGGATTGTTCCATTCTAAGTGCAAGACTTTGCACTTATCCTTATTGAACCTCATGAGATTTCTTTTGGTCCAATCCTCCAATTTCTCTAGGTCTCTGTGAATCCCAGCCCTATCATCCAGCATGTCTAATCTTCAAATCTATCAAATCTTTGATACCAATTTGTTGCAAAAACAAACTGATACCTAGATAGCTTAATTAAGAAAAAAATGCATCACCAAACTTAACAGGACTATTTCTGTTGGCTTGCCATCTTAGAATTCAAGTGTCTTTACTGATACATAATTTAAGGCAAAATTAGTCCATTCTGAAAATAGTCCCCCTGCTTATTTTTCCTGATGAAAAAGGGAGAAAAAATTCTTTCACAGTCTATTGCCTGGATTCAAGAAGTTATCTGCATTGTTTTCAGAATAAACCTGTATAATTTAACTTGAGGAACGAGGCAGCATTGCATCAAAGCAGTGGTTTTCAAATTTCCTCAAGTCACAGAACAACTTCTGCTGCAGAGCCCCTACCCCTATCCTAAAGACCCACGTGGAGACAGGCAACCCAGCTCCACAAGAGTCGCGCACTGCTTCCCAGACCACTGTGCCGTTATCCCCAATCTCTTCGCAGAACTCCTGATAACTTTTCACAGGACCCCAGGATTCCACAGAACCCAGTTCAAAAACCACTGCACCAAGGCACCAGTATGATGTGTGGGTGCTGGTAAATTCTTAGAGCCAGAGCCTATTGCTCTATGCATACTACCACATCAAAGTAGTCTACTCTGATTTCAGGAAGTAGCAAATGCAAAACAAGTGAAGCACAGCATGTCTCGGTACAGTGCTGCCCATAACTGAACAGTATGGACATCTGTGTTGACTACTACTGGACAGAAGCACTTCCAATGGTTAGAAGGAAACAGCTTTTATTAGAGACTCCCAAAACACAGGATTACTTGATTTTACAAGCTTACTTTTGTAAGTAAGGGTGCACACAAAAATAGAACCGTTCTCAAATGTCCCTGCTGTGGCTCTGACACCATGGAGTGGAAGTGAACACCCAGCCCACCTGACTTCCTGCCCCTTAGGCAGGGGTCTGGACCTGATGATCTTGCGAGGTCCCTTCCAGTTCTAATGTCTATGAAATCTATACTTTCAACTGATGTGCTTTCAAGAGAAAGATAAGCTGAAGCCCACAGAGATCAATTAAAACACACAGAAAATTATCTACAATGGAAACCTACTTCCAATGTTTTAGAACAAGACTTCAGTGCTGACCTTCAGCATCAGTTGAAAGAAAAAGGGACACATCTAGAAGTTGCAATAAACTGTTTGGTACTGAAGGGTTAGAAACTTCTGACTTGCTTTTGTTTCCTCTCAAAAAATATAGCTTGATGTATTTTAAAGTTTTTAAGCTTTTCCTTCATGACAGCTTGAGGTTAAGACTGCCTAGAAAAAAGGCAAGGACCTGAAAATCCCCAAGCAGAAAAGCTGAAGAATCAGAGCTGAATAACAACACAGTGTCAGAAGATGGTCTTTGCTGTGGCATCAGTTCTAAGAAGTCCCACAAATAGAGACCTCTCTCTTTCAAAAATCTGGAATGGCCCCATTCCCTTAGGCACCACAAAGTTTTAAGGATGCTTCTCACAAGAGCACAATCTGAATCAACTGTCAAATATATACATATATACATACATATACACATATACACACACACACACACACACACACACACACACACACACACACACACACACACACACACACCGTATTCGCCCCTTAAATTATGCACGTACTGCTATCAGTGGTGGTGCTGAGTCTAGTCTGAACTGTAAAAGCTGGCTATGATGGCTCTTAGCTTTGAAAGAACTCCACTGCCTTCTTTCCTGGAGATGATCTGATACCTTTGGGAGTCTCAAGTATTTGAAGACCTCGCCTCTACTTCAGATAGATTAAGACAAGGAAGGTCTTGATCCTGAATATGTCAGATACAAAATTCACAATGCAGAACACCCCTCAGAAAAAATCTTCAGCTTGACTCCTCTGATGGAGGAGGAGTGTCTCCAAAAGGAAAAACTTGTCCATAGATGCAAAATGGCAAATATGCCCTACAGCTGTACAGGCTGAAAGTTCCCAGGTAAATCCTTAGACAAGGTATGAGAGTTAAAGTCTTTTTCAGCAGTGAAGATAATCTCTTTTGTTCTTATTATCATTAAGGTACCAAAGCTGCATGAGAAAGAGGCTCTCAATTTACTAAACCCAGCTTACAAATGAAAGGTTTTCAACTAGCAATGGTCATGCCTCAGTTCAACCTCACAGGCTACAATACTGCCACTGCACAATGCTTCTAATATCAGCACAAGAACCATACAATTCTAAAACTAACAGCCAGTTAGACATAGGGTATAGCTTTCAGTCTTGTAACTGCAGACCAATAAAAAGGAAACTAAGCATATTTAGATCCTTTATACTCTGAATTCCAGAATAATGGACCAGAAGCATGAATGTGCATGCATCATTTTTGCTTCTGTGAATTGTTTGGTGAAAGAGAATGCAACTCCTAAAACAAGCGAGGAATAACCTGCAGCATCCTTATAGGCTCGACAGTGCTAGGCTGGTTAGCACTACGGTTGAAAGGGACTTGGGGGTCATGATTGACCACAAGTTGAATATGAGCCTTCAGTGTGATGCTGTGGCCAGTAAAGCAAGCAAAACACTGGCTTGCATCCATAGATGCTTTTCAAGCAAATCCCGGGACGTTGTTCTCCCGCCGTACTCGGCCTTGGTGAGGCCGCAGCTGGAGCACTGCGTCCAGTTTTGGGCTCCACAATTCAAAAAGGATGTGGAGAAGCTTGAGAGAATCCAGAGAAGAGCCACACGCATGATCAGAGGTCAGGAAAATAGACCTTACGATGACAGGCTGAGAGCTACGGGACTCTTTAGCCTGGAAAAGCACAGACTCAGGGGTGATCTGATGGCCAACTATAAGTTTATCAGGGGTGACCACCAGGATCTCGGGGAACAATTGTTCACCAGAGCGCCCCAAGGGATGACAAGGTCAAACGGTTATAAACTCCAGTAAGACCGGTTCAGGCTGAACGTAAAGAAAAAATTTCTTTACTGTCCGAGCCCCCAAGGTCTGGAATAGCCTGCCACTGGAGGTGGTTCATGAACCTACACTGAACACCTTCAAGAGAAATTTGGATGTTTATTTTGCTGGGATCCTATGACCCCAGCTGACTTCCTGACCCTTGGACAGGGGGCTGGACTCAATCTTCCAAGGTCCCTTCCAGCCTTAATGTCTACAAAATCTATGAAGGAACCCATGGAACCAAATGAAAAGGGGGAAAAACGTTTTAAAACATTATATGCATTTTCCAGCAATAATTTAATCTTAAGTATACCAAAAAACAGATTAACTGAACAGCATACAATGCAATACCCATTGTAACAATAAACCAAACAGAAATATTTCAACTTGCCTTGAGCGCTGAAGACCTCGAGGGGAGGCAGGCTCATGACCTGCCTGCTTATCAGCTATCACTGGCTGCTGAGGTGCTGACTGTGAAGCTGGTCCTTGCTTAACACCTGGAGTAGTAACCTGCAAAGTTCAAAACTTGGGTCAGATCTCCATACTAAATCCCAAATATGTAAAAATGAAAATCTGGTACAATCAGGTGAGCACTCTTTACTCCACTGTCTTATCTGGCCTGTACTTTAAGTTGCATAGGGAGGCAAAATAAATCCCATCTCTTTCTGGAAGCTTTATACTAACAATCATTTCATGCCAATCATACTCACATTTTTATATGAATAAAAATCATCTGTCATTTTGTTCAACCCCAAAAACGTCAGGTATTTTACATCATCTTTCAGTTGTTACCAAGTAAAAAAAAAATCAAATTCAAACTGTCCATTTTCTCACTTAAAAATTAATCGTGTTTAATTTTAAGTCCTGCATTACTGTGCTATATTCTTCACTCCAAAGTTCACTGCACATTAACAAACTACAGACTGTTTTTAGCTCTAGCTGTGACTGCTTTGTCCTCAGAACTGGGCTAAGCACAGACATCTCAGGCGGTTACACTGGTTTAAAAGTGGCCACCTGATCTACCCAGGTGTGGACCGTACACTAGCTAGGTGAATTTAAGTGTGAACTGTACAGAAGTTCAGGACAGTTGATCAGTCTAAAAATAGCTGACTAAAGTTAACCCTACCTCCAAGGTACACTCAACTTGGATACAGTTAGCCATTTTTAGACTAATCTAACTGTCCTGAATTTCTGTACAGTCCCTAGCACAACCCCAGGGCTGAGAAAGCCCAGTTGTCAGCCTCAGCCCTGAGGCTATACTTTTCCTACACTTTCCCTGGCACTGGGCTACTTTTAATCTGTCCCAACCATGCAGTTAGTCCAATAAAAGATATTGCCGCCCCCCCCCCGCCCCCCCCAAAACCCTTGCGTCTTGTATATATCAATTTGAAAACAGCGGTTGATGTAAATGAAAGCTATTTTCCAATGATTTTTAAGATGAGCCTCTGCGTTTTTATCCTCATGAAATGAGAGCATCTGCATTGTGACCTACTGGAATCTTCTATAGATCACTGTCAACTGGGGACACTTTTCTTCCTCTCACATACTCTCCTGCTCCTGCCCCCACCCATTCCAGTGATTCCTTCAATTCCTTTAATTTATTTAGGAATGCCTAACCTAGAATGCTACAAAAATGAGAAAAGGTGGGTAGGGACTGCAAATGCATAGAAATTAAATCTCAAAGAAAGAGAAATTAATTACTTTATAGTACTTCACAGAACCAAGACATGGATCTTAGTTCTACAAGCTGATGCTCAGGGAATAAGATGCAGAAGAGGTACCCTGAATGAGAAATGCAACCTGTCAAATTCCAGAACGTACACATGCTCAGGTTTAAGCTTTCACCACTCAGATCTTGTTCGGACACCTTTTTGAGAAGTTGTCTGGTGACAAGCAGGATGCAGAAGTATATTTCCTTCAGGTTATGACGTTTCATATTTTACAGAAGAGTGGAAAGATGGAAAGCTCTTCTGAGCAGAAACTCCTTTTGTGGCAAGGTATACTGTGTCTCTGCTGTGAGATGCAAATTCACTCCAACAATGGCAAGAGCCTGGTGTTAGCATATCAGGTGGTAAAATGCTTCCTTTGTGTAAAACTCAGCATTTCAGGTGGTAAAATGTTTCTTTTTCTTGTAAAATTATGAACTTTCAATTTTAAATAATGGCTAAAAGTTGATATCTTCCATGCATCAGGTATCCAGGTTGTAGCTGTATTGGTCTAGAGGCAAAAGGAATCAAAACTTGTGGAAGAGGCAATATCTTTTATTAGACCAATATACTTTTACATCCTGCTTGCCACTGAGGTAAAGACTTTTTCAACCTTTCTCTGTGCCTAACCTGAACAAAATGAACTATTCCAAACAGGAGACTTTACCCTACCTTCAGCTCTCCTGTGGAATATGAATTTTCATTTCTACCTAGAAGAACTTTTACAATCTCTGCCCTCTCACTATGCCTGAAAACCAGTATATTGTCTCCTATGCCTGATGAAGGGCAAGCGTGCCCAAAAGCTTGCAAATAAATAAAATAATTTGTCTGCAAATATCTAGTTGGTCTAATAAAAGATATCACCTCTTCCACAAGTTTTGATTCCTTTTGCCTCTAGTTCAATATGGCTACAACCTGGATACCTCCCAGACGTGACACGTTCCTTCCAGGAGAAAATTCTTCCAGGTGTCAGTCAACCTGGAAGATCTTCTGAGCAAGAGAGAAATATTTTGCAAGGAAGAACACGTGTACAGTTTGCCCAGAACCACTCTTGCACATACTTCTGAAGAGTCAACTGAAAACTAGAAGGCTCATATCTTCGGTGGTGAGTTCTGGAAAAGGGCACCTTTAAACCATAAGGAGTCTGAAGCATCAACATTAAGTCCAAGAGGAAAGGCAAGCTCAAACAGCTGATAGCTCACAGGGCAAGGTGCTAAACAGAGTCTGAAACCTAAGTGTGTGTTAAGACCCTAAGCCAAGGGTAGAGCCTAAAACTGGCTTAAGACACACAAGGGATCCAACACTGGATGGATCCACACGATGGTCTGTGACCTGCCAGCAGAGGGAACTAACCAAGTGTGCTATACCCCCTAACAACAGAATGAAAGAAAACAAAGGAACAACATAAACCATGAATTCATTGCACCGTCAGCAATTAGAACAAACTTGGACAAATGGAGCAGCTCCCCTTTTGGCACCTATGAAATGCTCCACACTGGGAGCAAGGGAGGCAGTTAGTGATACTGATACAACACTTCAGAAGACCACACTGACTCTCAGTCACTTTGATACTCACTGATGATATGCAATAGGACTCTGGAATCAAGATTAACAGAGAGTCTACCTGAAGCAAAAAACCACCCCCCAAAAAAACTGAGGAAAAAGAGCCTCTCTCAGTCCAGTTTGCTAAAAACCTGATTATATCAGCTTTGCCACTAAAGAATTATTGATTAATTATATTTGAGGACCTTATATTATTTTAAAATGAATCAAGGATTTAAGGAATGTATTTTTGCTTATATTTTACTACTGACTTCAACTATTTGATTCTTCAACAGCAGTTTAGGAGTTAGCAGGTTTTTTCCCTTCAAGCTTGGCAGTACCTAGATCCTAAAGGTATCAGGGCTCAATCTAAACACTGCAAAATCCAATAATAGACAACAACGGGCAAGAGAAGCATAGCAAAAATTACGATTAGGCAAAAAACCAGAAGTCATCCTATATCCCCTACTTAACCACTGCCAAGCATCTTCAAGTATCATAGGACAAAACTGTAGCAGGGATCTGAAGATTTTAGGAGCTCCTTCCATACATAAAAGGTGGCCTCAGAAAACATGAAACTGTGCAAAGGAAAAATGAACTAATGGGCAATAAAGTCGGTCATCACTAATAGAGTAGAGGCTGGAGTCATTAGCTCAACAGCATTCAAGAAATAAAATCTTACAGGTGATGACGTTTGATGGCATGTAATGGGGCATCCATTGAAAAGATATAAAGGTCAAATGGGTAACATTTTAAGAGTAAAAAGCAGAGCACTTTGACAACACTTGAATAAATTTGAGATGGATAAGACAATATGTATCAAAGCCAGAAGAGAGGAAGTTGCAGTAGCAAGGATATGAAAAACTAGACAGCCTGAAATATTTCACTGCTAATCTAATATCACCTCTTCCCGCTAATCCTGTCCAGGGCCTCAAATTAATCAAATCAAGGACACAACCAGGAGTTTTGAATCAATTCCTCAATTCTACAATTACTATTAGCCCTAGTCGATTTAACACCCTTCCCCCTCCCTTGTTTTAACTCTTTTCAAGCAGGATGGATAAAAAAAAAAAATTAATATCTAAAGTCCCATTTGTTTAAACCAACCAATTTAAAATTATGACAACTTTGTTACGGGCTAATTTTCCTTTAATCCAGTAAAATCATGTAAGTGATATTTTCCCTGGCAGTATGTTTGCTGTTGTTTCAAAAAAGGCAAACCACTGCCTTGGCACCCAGATTCTGAGTTACTTGAATTCTTACATATAGTTTTCAACAGCAGTAGCTAGAGGGTTTCTCTCCCTCTCCCCATTTCAATTACTTAGACTTGTTCAGTTCAATTACAAGTTGGAAAACCACCTGATAGAGAAAAAACTAGCTTTCCTGCTTTTTCTCTCTCAAAGCAAAGCAGGATTAAAACAAATGTTTTTAATCAGTTTCCTGCTTGCTGATTTAAATCCACTTTCCTTTGATTACAGAAAGTTTAGTTTATTAATATTTTGCAGTTATACTATAGCAATTCTTGCCTTTATAGTCTATAATAACATTTGGAATAAAAACAATGAGTTGCCGGCTGAATAGTGATCATTTAAGAAGTAACAACACATTACTATGAGCTACTCTGTGTGTATTTACTGAGAATCATTTGCTTTTTGTTTTTGGTAAGCAACGTACTCTGGCCCCCTTGGCACTGCATAATCAATTAAAACCAAACAAGCCAGATTCTATTCTACTGTATACAAATACTATTCCAATACTTATAGCTACGTAACATAGTAGTTCTTTCTGATGGTAAGTAGTAATGAAGATGCAAAGAAATTCCTGGATCAAGGGCTCATTTGACTTCTCCAATTTCATTTATTTCAAGCTTAACCAGCTCTACCACTCTGAGTGTGCATTTACTTCGGAGAAATTTGCACTGATAAAACTGCATTAATTCTTTTACATAAAACAATGCAAAATGTGGTAAGTCACACGGGGGGCACAGTGTCAACATTAAAGGTTTGCTCTGCTGTGACTACTTTGAGACAGTTAGCCTAAGTGAACACTTTCTTGATACAGATGAGCCTTAAAGGGAGTGACTATAGGATGGAGTAGCCTAGACCCAGGATACCTAGACTTTGGCATTATCATAACCAAGGTACAAAAAGTAAATTAGGTAATTACATGCTTTCTGTCAGTTGGTTAACATACAAAAGCAAGCGTCTCCGCAGCCCTACTGCTGATTACTATGAGAAATGCATCCTGTGAAAGGAGATGAGACTGAACTGGAAAAGGCAGAGTGAAGAAAGGGGAACTGAGACTTCTGACCTATCTCCCGCCACACAAGAGATTCTCAGAGTAGCTTTCATAAAACCTGTGTAGTAAAAAGTTGTGTTCAACTAAAAAATGGCTAGTGAATAGCTGCTTCAAAAAGTATTTATCCATGTTTCTTTTTCTGGGCTACAGACCTGTTCACAGGACAAGGAATTTATAACTTGTGGTTATAATGTATCTGCACTCTTTGAGGCCTTTTCTTGAATACTGCAAAGGAACTGGAAGCGGGATCCATTCCCATGAAGTTTTCTGAGTATATCTTAGAACTCATCTAAATTCAAGCTATTCCCCCTCCTGAAGTAGCAGCAAGATGAACTTGAAGGATGGGCACTGTCCTGGTTGGGAGAAACGGATCTGTTCTGGTCTGTTTTGCCAGGAAATTTGGCAAAACCCAGAGGTACTAACGACCCAAACTTTGTAGTCAAAAGATTGCTTTTTTTTTTTTTTAAATAATGTAAAGCAAGACTGCTCAACTGTTACAGTGCTAAGGACCACACGCCCCACAGGTCACAGGCAGCCACACTGCACAAACTTGGGCTCACCCTCTGCTTCCTGCGCCATGCTGCCCCACCCTGCTCCTTGGGTGGGTGCAGAAAGCAGAAACCAGAGGAAGGAAGGGGAGCCCAGAGACTCCAGCTATTGTTGCAACCAGAGTGATGGGGTGAGGAACAGGGAGGAGAGAAGAGTGGCTGGGCAGGAGCCCAAGAGCTGCAACTTAATCCCCTTGGGTCACATGAGGCCAGGGAGCCACTAGCTGGACTGCCTTGGTGTATAGACGAAGAACAGTTAAATCTTCCTTTTTTGGATGCTAACAGAGGTAAATTTGCTGCCCAACAAGATTGCTACAGCTGAACTCAAGACTTTTTCCCCTTTGAAGGGAAGAGACATTCCTACAGAGTTGAGACCAGATAACCTTCAGTGCTATAAAAATCAAACTTCTCCATGAAGGACTTCACAAATAGATTAAAACATGGGTTGGTATTTATTTTATTCACTGAGAAAAGGATTCTGATAGTTTTACTACTTTAATATTTCTGGAAAAAAGAAGAAAAATGCCATCTTCCTGAAGTTCTGTGTATAGATAAGTAATTTAGATACAAGTAGTTTATCAGTCAGAAGACAAAAATAACACAGCCTTCAGTTTCCCCTAGTGATAGATTTCCTTTTCCTATTTGGCAGGATTCTTTTAAGCAAACACATATCTCCACAAGGACACTTGTCTTTGAGTAAAGTATAACCACAGAACGTACTCTAGAAGAGGAGAGCAATTTAACCCCCAGACTTTTCTAGTGGCATCTATACTCCCCCTGTATGTGTGCGGATAGCATCAGAAAACCCCTCAAAGGGGATAAGGAGAAGCAAAGATAGCTTAGAATATGCTGGAATAGGGACATAATGGGTGGGTTTTGTAAATTTTCTCCCTCAAAATACTGAACCCTCAAGGCCTCCTCCTAAAGGGCAGGGGAACTCAAGTGCCCAAGGTGAGTGGTCGTTCCTTAAGGAGACGATACTCAGGGCCCAAGGGGTGACCATCCCAACAAAAACCAAGGGGGGCAGGAATGCCCGAAAGTCCCCCTGGCTCACCAAGGGCGTCCGGGAATGCCTGATCGCCAAACACGCAGCGTACACTTGGTGGAAAGGGGGTGCTATCTCCAAAGAGGAGTATACCTCCTCTGCTCAGGCCTGTAGGGGGGCTGTCAGGAAAGCTAAGGCGGACATAGAGCTAGGACTAGCGTCCAAGATCAAGGATAATATAAAGTCCTTTTTCAAATATGTAGGGAGGATGAAGAAGGCACCACGTAATGTGCGGCCCCTGCAAAGTACGCCGGGCAATCTGGTGGTTGCACCAGAGGAGAAAGCAGAACTCTTTAACCAATTCTTTACCTCCGTTTTCTTGTGCAGGGACCGGGACTTCCCCACTGTGATGCAAGACGGACTCGAGGGGAACACCTCCAGACCTCAGGTTGGGGAGGACCGGGTTAGAGAGCTGCTGGAGGGGCTGGACATCTTCAAATCAGCAGGTCCAGATGCTCTCCACCCCAGTGTGTTGAGGAAGCGAGCAGGGATTATTGCAGGGCCCTTGGCACAGCTTTATGAGCGCTCGTAGTGCTCAGGCCAGGTGCCGGATGACTGGAAGATAGCCAACATGGTCCCCATCTTTAAAAAAGGAAGGAGGGAGGACCCAGGCAACTAAAGGCCCGTCAGTCTTACCTCAATCCTAGGGAAACTCTTTGAGAAGATCATCATGGAGCATATCTGTGATGGGCTGGCCTCAGAGATGATGCTCAAGGGCAACCAGCACG